TTATTAAATCATCAGGTGATCTCATTTATCAAAGTCATGTCTGTTTTGTGCCGATTAACGGTCGGATTGGGGTTATGCCGAGGACGCATGTGGCCACGGATGTGGTCGAGTGAAGCATTGTTGTGTGAGTAGGTGAAATGGGCACTAGGCACCTTCTCGCCAGTCTCCTAGGCAATGAGGTGAGGTAAAAAAAGGATATAAATCCTCCCTCCCCACTGCCCGCCCAGTCGTCCGCAGACAAGCAAGATTGGCCCGATCTAATTCACCCAATTTGTATTCGCCCCTCCGGATTAGCACAGCTTAATGTCTATGCATTTGCATCTGTATGGACTGTTGAATCTGGCCATTTTATTTCCTAAAGTTACCGTATGCCTGAGCCGATTCGGCTGACAGGATGAGGCCTTCCGGAGCCTGAGAATGTCTCGAAATGATTAATCCATTGTGGTAATGTTGGTACAGTGGCGGTTAGTCAATCTGCCGGCGAGGAATGTGTTGGGCAGACCTTACTTTCGCATGCAAATGCATGATGAATAGATTCGTCGAACGATGTGAGCAGAAAGAGTAGACTGATTGCCGTTGTTCTTCAGTCGTTTGTAGACAAGGTCCTCGAGACGAGTCGAAAAGAGGTTAAAAAAGCGATAATTTATGGGCATAGAAAGATGGAGAATGGCTTGGTTAAATCCTTTTCATATCGGTCATCGTCCATATACATGAACATGGGTATCTGTGGGTCAACGTATATGAGCAATGCTGGTTCTAACTTAGAGTGGTTGCAAAAACGGATGTCAAGCTTGGATATTAAATACGAATAAAAGTGGAATTTCAAGGATAATCTTGTTTCATAACTGTTGAGCACATTTCCGTTTCGAGAGAAAGTGTTTGGCGGAGAGAATAGAAGCTCGATCTCAGCATATGACGAGGGCGGATTCCACTTGACCAAAAGTCGACTGTCATTACTGATACATTCTTGTTGATGTATTGATACATGACTTTCTATTTCGCAGGAAAAGTCGGTTGGAAGGACTTTGCGATGTGGTCTCACCAGAAATCGAACGAGGAGTGCCGCGTAAGGAAGACTGATGAATTGTGCGAAGAAATGCTCGGAGCATCGTCGTGCAACGCTAATGAACCTGTGCAGAGCTTCGTCAGTACTGCCACAGACATTATCACATCAAGAATTCATACTTTACGAAATAGAGCAAAAATATAGTAGACCAAGAGAAAAAATGTGACATGTTGCAACCCTAGTCGCTTTTTTATACACCCAACATCGCGATCTTAAGAAGTTCGTCATTCTCTATTGTGTGTATGTAATGTTCATGTCATAGGAAGTGTGATAAACTCAAAACTAATCCAGCCTGCTCATGTTCAATGGCTTTTCCTTCACCCCATCTCTCTTCCTTTCCTAAAGTCTATCCAACAACCACAAATAGTTCCTATTCCATTTTCTGCACGTGATCCTCCTTGACAAACGGTCTTCTGTTTGCATATTCTCTTCGGATGGGCCCGCAGGTCTCCCCCAAAAACGGAATATTAAAATAGGTTGATCCGAGTCAAAGGACAGTGAACCGAAGATTTCTTCACATAATCCAACAGTTTTCATTTCTCAAAGGCAGACTTTCTTCGGTTTCAGATGAGACCAATTCACAATTCCAGTGATAGTCTTTTGTATTACATGTCGTTAGATAAATTAGAAATGTGGATGAAGAAATTAGGTTTATTGGTGAGTTTACTAATCAGACAGAGCATTCGAAAGATGAAGTTCCAAAGAGAACGATGCTTC